CACTGTATCCTGCTGAAAATGTTGTGAAATATTTTTTATGAGCATTTTAAATTTTTATATATTTAGGGGGGTACAAGTACAGATTTCTTATGTGCAGCTGTATTACAGTGATGGTATCTGGGCTTTTGGTGGACTCATCACTCACGTGCTGAACCTGTACCCAACAGGGAAGTTTTAACACCCCACCCCTCCCACCCTGCCACCTTCTGGAGTCTCCGGTGTCTGTGAGTCCACTCAGCATGTCTATGTATACTCATTGTTTAGCTCCCACTCATATATGAGAACATTTTAAGAGCATTTTCTCATGCCATTAAAAAGTTGTTATATAGGCCTGGTGCGGTGGCTTATAGCTGTAATCCCAGCACTTTGGGAGACCGAGGCAGGTGGATCACCTGAGGTCAGGAGTTTGAGACCACCCTGGCCAACATGATGAAACCCTGTCCGTACTAAAAGTCCAAAAATTAGTCAGGCGTGGTGGTGGCAGGCGCCTGTAATCCAGCTGCTGGGAGGCTTAAACCCAGAAGCGGAGGTTGCAGTGAGCTGAGCCTGCACCAGTGCACTCCAGCCTGGTCAACAGAGCAAGACTCTGTCTCAAAAGGAAAAAAATATGTGTGTGTGTGTGTGTGTCTTTTAATGACCAGGTAATAGTTCATCTTTTTTGTAACCCTTCTATTACTGAGCATTTTGGCCATTCCTATAGAGTTGCTTTTTGTGTTTGTCAGTTACACTGCAGTGAACATCTTTGTATATTGTCTAATAACCTGTTGCCTAGGTTTCTAGAAGTGGGCGAGACTATTAAAGCTTTGATACACATTACCAACTAATTTCTTTTTAGTACTTAATTTTGAAATAATTTCAGACTCATAGAGGAGTTATTAAAGTAATTCAGCAAGTGCCATGTCCCCTTCCTCTGGCTCCCCAATAGTGACATCACACACAACCATGGTACAGTGATCAAAACACACCATCTATTTTAAATCTTTAATATCTGCTGAAGTACCAGCTGATGTGGTTTATACCTCGTTGCCTCCTAGTGAATGTTTCCTGGCACAGACTGTTGTCTCTGAGATAGGAAGGAAGAAGCTAGAGCTCACCAGTCCCTGAGGCAGTTTTCAAATATACCGAATTTACCACTGGTCGGGAGTCCACAGTGCAGCCACGCTATTGGCTGCTTCTTGACAATGTCGTGTAAATTAAGTGAGCACTTCTCAGCGCGGAGCCATCCAAGAGCTTTGCTTCATGCCTGGTGCCTAACAGCAGGATATAAAGAACTCTTATCCCTGAGAGAGATTTAGCAGCATGGGGAAGAAAGCTTGCATTTAGATGCCACGTTCCAGTTGGAAAAGTCCTTTCAGATGCATCAGTGCCTGGCTGTCACTTCACAGTGACCCTGGGCAAAGCCAGGGAGCCTGTTCCTATCTATGTTGTCCAAATGGGCAGACTGAGGCTAAAGTTAAATGGCTGGCCCAAGGTCATCTACAGTTGCTGACGAGAGGCCCTCAATGTGGACCTGCAGGCTCAAGGGTAGTGCCCTTTTCAGGTGTTGGGATTTCAGATTGTGTTTTGTGGAACAGAGCTCCCGTGAATCGGCCAAGTTTTGCTGGCAAAACTGCACTCAGGACACCAGGGCTCCTACCCCACTCAGCTAGAGCTGCTCCTCTCTTACCTGTTTTATGTGTTAGAAGCTTTTGACAGAAACTATCATAAAGGTTTAAAAACTGCTGAGCCTGGCCAGGCACGGTGGCTCACACCTGTAATTCCAGCAGTTTGGGAAGCTGAGGCTGGTGGATCACCTGAGGTCAGGAGTTCGAGACTAGCTTGGCCAACACGGTGAAACCCCATCTGTACAAAAAAAAAGGGGGGGGGCAGGCATGGTGGTGCTTGCCTATAATCCCAGCTACTTGGGAGGCTGAGGCAGGAGAATTGCCTGAACCCAGAAGGTGGAGGTTGCAATGAGCTGAGATAGCGCCACTCTACTCCAGCGCAAAACTCCGTTTCAAAAAAAAAAGAATCAAAGAAAGACTGCGGAGCCCATCGTGTGCTGTCAGGCACACACCATCAATATTCTCTTGACCTAGGAGACAGGGTAGATCCCTCTCTTCTACGAGCAGGGAGCTCCTCCCTGCATGACTCTGTGTGACCCCTGGGGTGCAGACTCTAGTCCCAGCGAGTTTACAGTTGATGGGGGAGTCCACGCCGACAGTGGACCAAGCAGATGTCATTAACAAGACATCCTGTACTTCCTACACACACATTTTTCTAATTAGAAATTTATTTTGGTAAAGCACTGGTTCCCCCAGTGAGGATTCACTGTACTATAAGTCAGTTCTTGAAATGATGAGAAATCCCACTCATCAGAGTAGCATGCGGCTGGGAGGGAAATCTGGGTAGCAGCAAAGTGAGTCACACTCGAGAGTGGGCTCAACCTCTTTGAATCTGCTCTGTGTTCTGATGAATCATAAGAAAACATCCTTCTGACAAACTGGTCCAGTCAGTTTTCCTAGGGAAAACCTGGATTCAAATCCCAGCTCTTGCTCTTACTAGCTATATGACTTCGCTCAAGTGGCTTAATCCGTGAAATGGGATTCATGATCCTGGCTCCTGCGTGGTTATAAACATGAAAAGGATGAAGCAGGGAAAATGCATGCATGGTTTATACGCTCGGACGATGTTGGGAGCTCACACTCCTTCCCTCTGGAATGCACACTGTCTCTTCCCATCAGGATGAGAATCTCTTATTTAGGGAATGAGCCAATGAAAGAGCCTTAAGGTGATCGTGTTTAATTTGGGCAGTAAGACACATAGGAGAAACGTTTCTCTAATTCCTGCAACTGTGCTATTGATAACAGTTCTCTCTAGGCAAAAACGGAGATAAAAGCATCATAACGGCCGGCGCTTTATGGCTTGCCCTCTGTCATTCCAGATGTCGGTGCAGATCTCTTGGCCATGTGCCAGCGAAACATTGCCCTCAACAGCCTGGCTGCCACTGGAGGTGAGGCCCACAGAGTCTTCTGCTGGGGAGGGAGGTTTCTCTGTTTGGCAGAAACAGTCACCCAAGACCATGACATTGGGAAGCAGGGCTCCACCTGTGTCCCTTGTACCAGTTGAGTAAAGGGAGCAGACATCATCTGGGCTTCACAGAGCTTCAGAGCATCCAAGGCTCTCCTTGGGTCACCTCATTCCCACATTCACCGCGTCATCCTGTTCCAGCTCTTTCTCTCCCGGACACTGGAAGTGAATCCCCAGCTAGTTTCCCCAGCTTCTTTTTGGACCCGGGCAAGCTGTCCTCATGTAACATCCACAGTGACCTTTCTCAGATGCAAGCCTGTCTCCTCTTCCTGCCGAAAACCTTCCAGGGGTGTCATCACCCATGGAATTCCCAGGCCTCCCTGACCTAGCCCCCGCCTGCTCTCCCAGCCTCTTCCTGTCTCCTGTCTAGCCCTGCATCCAGCACGGCCGCTCATCCCACTGCCCGGATGGGCTCCCACCCCATCTGCCTGGTCATCTGCTCCCTGCACGGCCTGCAAGGATGAGTGTATGTGATGGGTGACGACAGTTATGTCCTAATTGGGCTGTCCATCCAGCCTTTCTTTTTTTTTTTTTTTTTGTTTGTTTGTTTTTGTTTTTGCAGAAAAGTCATTTATTTAGGTAGAGAAAGAGAAAAGGGAGAGGAAGAGAGAAAGCTTCCGAGAGAGAGGAGAGAGAGAGACAGAGAGAGAGAGAGAGTGAGTGTTTGTGTGTGTGTGTGTGTGGAAGGGAACCCCAGAGGGGAAATCCAGGAAACAAGACAGTCCATCCAGCCTTTTTTCCTCCAAGCAGCCTCAGGCTTCAGGCCCTTCAGTGGTTTCCCGTTGCTCATCTCCTCTTCTGGGGGATCTGGCCCCTGCCCATCTGCAGCTTCCCCCACCCAGCCATCCTCACCATCTTTCAGATCACTTTCCTTCAAGTATTCTGCCCTTGCGCTCTTCCCTCCCCGAGTGCTCTGCCCTCCCTCCACCTCCTGGCAAGTCCTCATCATGCCTAGGGCTCCAGACCTTCAGATTTGAGGCCAGGGCCCCTAGCAGACTCCAGGAACACCTTGCGCAATTGCATTTTAACTTCTGCTTGTGTGACTGATGGTTGGTGTTTTCCATTCCCACCAGACTACATGTTGGTGCAGGTACCCCATCTGTGTTTGCTCCCCACTGTCACAATATTTGTTGAGTGCTCAGAGTATAGCAGGCAGTCAGCAGAGATTGGGAGGAAGGAGGGAGCGTGCTAGTGGACGCCTTCCCTGACACCCACTGTCTGATACGATTTCCTCTCTGTCCTCCTGTGCATTTTCCTCATCGTACAGACATCACCCAGCCACACAGTCTTGCCATTGTCAGTTAACCCTCCAGTCTCCCCTAAGGGAGCTGGTCCATAAGGATGGGGAGCATGACTCTTAAATCTTTATTTTTTCTGTGTCTGGCATAGTGACACTTAGCACTCAAAAAATGCTGGAAGGATGGACAGATGAATGGAGGGAAGGGACAGAGGGTAGATGATGAATGAGAAGGAAGGAGGGAGGATAACAGGGATGGGCAGGTGGATGTGTGAGAGGGTAAAGGCTAGATAGATGGGTAGATGAGAGGGTGGGTGGGAAGATGTATGGGAAGGAAAGAGGGAAGGAAGATGGGTGGGTGTATAGATGAATAGATGGAAGGACAGGAAGATGGGCAGACGGACAGATGGATGGGTGGGTAGGTGGATGGATAGATGGAAGGGCAGTAAGATGGATGATGGTTTGATGGATAGACGGAAGGGCAGGAAGATGGATGGATGGATGGATATGTGGAAGGGCAGGAAGATGGACGGACAGATAGATGGAAGGGCAGGAAGATAGTTGGATGGATGCATGGATGGATGGATGGATGGATAGATGGAAGGGCAGGAAGATGGATGGATGCATTGATAGGTGGGTGGGTGGGCAGGTAATGGATGGATGGATGAATGCATAGATGGGTGGGTGGGTGGATGGATGGATGGATGGATGGATGGATGGATGGATGGATGGATGGATGGAAGGGCAGGAAGATGGATGGATGGATGGATGGATGGATGGATGGATGGATGGATGGATGCATGGATGCATGGATGGATGGATGGATAGATGGAAGGGCAGGAAGATGGCTGGATAGATGGAAGGGCAGGAAGATGGCTGGATAGATGGAAGGGCAGGAAGATAGGCAGGTGGGTGGATAAATGGGTGGGAAGATGGATGGGTGAGAGAAAAGGTGAATGGGTGGGTGGATAGATGGATCTTGGTATATAGTGTAAAATTTGTCTTTTTTCCTAATTATATTTAGAGTTTGGAGGGTTATCTTTGTATTGTTTTTACAGGTGGTGTAGTTAAGGTCAAAGAACTGGACTGGCTGAAGGACGACCTCTGCACAGGTGTGTTTCCCTCTGACGTCCCCCAGTATGCTTTGTAATACCTCAGTGCCCCGGCTCTGTGGCCTTCATGGAGCTGTAGCCCCAGTTGCTAACCGCAGTCCTACCAATGTGTGGCAGGTTCTCTCCACTGGCCGATGACATCAGCTCTCATTCTCTGCGCACCTGCTGCGTGCTGGGAACCTCATATTCACTTTGATCTTCAGGTCTGGTGGTTTCTCTGTGTGGTGGCATGATAGTCCCTGAATCGTGAGTGCAGCAGCATAGGGGCATGGACCCGAGTCTGTCAGACTCTGGGACACAGACCATTTCCCAACAAACGGCAGTTCCAGGAAGCCCCGGGGTAAGAGAGTGTCCCGTATTTCTTACACAGTAATTCAGACCTGGGTGCTTGCTCTTTCTTTATATAAAGATGTCTTTTTCCCCCCTGTCAGATGGCAGATGGGGAAAGTCATTTCTTGAGTACCGGTCACCTGCCTAGCACTTTGCCCATCACAGGCCCTTGGGCCCTCCCAATAAGTACTATGCTCTTTCTGTAAGTGTGAAACTGAAGCTGTTTACCTCGGCCACCCAGCAGGCAGATGGGGCAGATTATGTCTTGCTCTGGGCAACAGGCCAAGGCAGCAGGTGAGGCTGAAATCCACCCGCTGCTCACTGGCCAGAGCAGACACTCAGCAGAAAAGGCATCTCTTCCACCATTACTCTGCACCCAGGCAGCGGTGGCCTGAAGCAGGGAATCCTGTCTTCCTGACGGTGCCCACTGCACTGAGCTACCCCCAGCCCCATTTCTTCTCCTGAAGGGCCTTTTTGTCAGTCCCAGTGAGAGCTGGTGGCTAGGAGAGAAAGCGATGAACACAAAACGTGCTTTTCTTCTTTGTCAGATCCCGAGGTCCCCTTCAGTTGGTCACAAGAGGAAATTTCTGACTTGTACGATCACACCACCATCCTGTTTGCAGCCGAAGGTAAGAAAATTTCTCTTTCGCCTTACGTGTCCTTTGTCACAGCATAAAGTCAAGTGCAGTCTCCTCGCCTCCCCCCAGAGTTCAGTTTCATAAGAGACTTTTTGGGACATGCTGCCATGTCTGTGCAGTTTTCATTCTCAGAGCTGCTGCTATTGGGTGGCGAGAAGCATTTTCTCTGTGTGTATCTCCCTGAAAAGTCGAATTCTCTAATACTTGCATGTTTTCCCCTAATTCTGGCCTTTTTGCTTCCCACAGTGTTTTACGACGACGACTTGACTGATGCTGTGTTTAAAACACTCTCCCGACTTGCCCATAAATTGAAAAATGCCTGCACGGCCATCCTGTCGGTGGAGAAGAGGTGAGCTTTGCGCCATGGGGACTGCGCTGGCGTCCCACATATCAGCAGAGCTCTCACCTCCTAATTGTAGCCTTGTTAATGTCCTCATAATTGTTACTCATTGCCACTTCTTGAGCACCTACTGTGTGCCAGGCCTGTTAATCAGTGCTACTTCTTGAGCACCTACTGTGTGCCACGCTTGTGCTCCTCTGTGTCCGTCCGCACTGAATCTGCATGCTAGCCCTGTATGCAGGCGCTGCTGTCCCTTTACGGATGAAGAGAGGAAGGCTGGGAAGCATCAGGGCCCTTGCTTGGTCAGGCTGGTTTCGAACTCCTGACCTCAGGTGATCTGCCTGCCTAGGCTTTACAAAGTGCTGGGATTACAGGCAGGAGCCACTGCACCCGGCATAGACTCTTCTTACTCCTTTTACATGTCTGAAATCTTTGTTAATAAATTTTGTAAAGAAAAAGGAAAAGAGCTTGAATTTGAAGTTAAGTCATCTTGTAGACTGAGGTTTTGAAAGGCAAGTGGCAGGGCTTGGAGACCTGTTCCTGAAGACAGTCACTCTCTGAAATCTCTCAGACCCCCAACTTCCTAGCAGTTTTATCTCTGTTCTCTGTGCTCTCAGAGTCCTCTGCACCGCCCACTGCCATGCCTCTCATTCATTCGTTTCACAAATAATTACACAACAGCTCCAGGCACTGGGCAGCCAGGACATGGAGAGCTGTCCTCAAGTATGAATCTGCATCTGCCTCTTACACCAGTCCTAGCTCCTCAGAGGAGTTTTATCTTTATCTTTCCCGCGATGTCATTGTGGATACATGACTTCAGCGTTGTGAGCCTCAGTTTCCACATCTATAAAGGGCGAGCCATTTCCACCTCCCAGGCTATTATGCAGCCCTAGGAAGGAATTGCCCTCAAACACGCAGCATGAGACAGGCACTCAGTAAAAGCCCATCCAAGGGATAGGAGATCAGTGAGGGACAGGAAAGCCATGTGGGCGAAACAGCAAAACCCTTCCCGGTGATAACAGCAGTTTGTGTGTTGGCTGGCTGATTTGCAGGCTCAACTTTACACTGAGACACTTGGACGTCACGTGTGAAGCCTACGATCACTTCCGCTCCTGCCTGCGTGCACTGGAGCATCTCAGGGATGGCAACCTGCGCTTCGTGGTGGAGCCCGTAGAGGCCTCCTTCCCGCAGCTCCTGGTTTACGAGCGCATCCGGCAGCTGGTACGTCTGGGCCCCTAACCATGGTTTTGGTTGCTTTATAGTGAAGCAGGTGACTCCTAGGCAAAGGAGGTGATAAAGCAAACCCTCCAAGCTTAGGCCCCACCCTAGGTCCCGCAGGGAGTGAATGAAGCCTGCATGCTGGGCACCGTCTGTAGTGGAACCGGTTGAAGGAGCTACATTCTGTTCCCTCCATGTCTAGAGGTGGGCCTACGGGCGAACCTTAGCTTTCTTCCTTATAGTACACTTTCCCCCGTGGGCAGTTCAGACTCCAGAGGAGGCAAGACTAAGGCAGAGGTTGTTTGGGGAACAGAAATTCAGTGGAGGGGAAGTTGATGGGTTCCAGATCTTGGTGCAGGGCCCCTGCTGTGGTAGCTACTGGTCACATCTTCAGTGTGGATGTATACTGGCCTCTTGGTCTGAACAGGATTTTCTGTTACTGGATTGCCTTTTGCCTGTGGCTTCCCTTTCTCTGTGTCTTCAGAGACTGAGGCCTAGTTCTAAGGAATAATGGAGGAAGGGAGTCATGAGGAGCTGCCACCCTGGTGCTCTACCTCGTGTCCTGAGCAAGGGCAGCATGGAATTTGTGTGGTTTTATGTGCGAGGGGGATCTTGTATTTATTGCTCTGCCACTTCTGGGCAGCAGTAAGAGTAGCATCACATGATGAAGAACACACACTTTTTACAAATCAGCAGCCCCAGTACATGATGCCTAAGACATCCCAAAAAGGCCAGGTGTGGTGGTTCCCACCTATAATCCCAGCACTCTGCGAGGCTGAGATCAGAAGGTTGCTGGAGGCCAGGAGTTCGAGACCAGCCTGGGCAACATAGACCCCCATCTCTTCAAAAATTTAAAAAAAAAATTAGCCAGGCATGGTGGTGCACACCTGTGGTCCCAGCTACTCTGGTGGCTGAGGTGTGAGGATTACTTGAGTTAAGGCTGCAACAAGCTGTAATGGTGCGTGCCACTGCACTTCAGCGTGGGCAACAGTGTGAGTTCCTGTCTCTAACGTAAAATTGTATATAAAGATCTCCCCCAAAATGGAGAGATTGTGGCAACTCACTGCCATTCTGGTCTCTTGATTATATGACGTCCTCCGATGCCCCTTCCGTTAATCCCGGAACTTCATCCATCTCGTCTCTCTGCCACAGTAAAGCAACAGCCCAGAGCAACAAAGAAAGGAGGAAGCCACCTGCTCACTTCTGCCCTAGCTCACCCGCTCTGTGGCTGGCATGTTTGTTGTCTAACTACTCTGCCTGGCTGATCACTTTCCTTCATGAAATTGTCACGGTTTGTTCTTTTCTGTTTGCTACAGGAGCTCTGGAAGATTGTTGCAGAACCAGTAACATGACCCAGTGCCTCCACAAGGCACGGCATCTTGACTCTTCTTATAGTGGATTTCTATTAAAATCGGAAGCTCACCGAAGCATTGAGATTTGTCATTTTTAAAATATGGTTACATGGACCTTAGACGACCCAAGATGGTTTTTTTCAGGTCTGTCCCTGCCTCCCAGTCGAAGCCAGAGAAGGTTGTTGCTGTGGGCTGGGGGTCCCCTTACCTGTTTCTCATGCTTGTAATATGGGCTCCAGGGTCAGGCTGAGGAAGGTTGGTTCTCAGCTCAATTCCACCCAACTCAGTCATTTCATCTCTGCCCTTCACGTGGGGCTGTGGCGCTGGCTGTGAGGTGGATTCTTGTACTGCCCTTTGTCAGCTGTTTACACATGGGTTAACTACCATTGCCACAGTTGCCATCATATCACCTCTTGGCACAAAAGCCTCATTTCCTCCCGGTGTTGGGTGTGCTCTGCCCCATCCCTCCAGTGTGGGCCCCCGGAGGAGAGGAAGGGGCAGGAGCTGGTGCCAGGAGTAGACTGGCATTGGCCTTTGGATTTCATTTTAGCTCTTTCTAACCCAAATCAGGGAATAAACCTAAGAGCCACTCTTTGGGGTCACAGGCAGCCGACTGGGGGTTTGGGCAGTGATCTTCCTCAGAGATGTTCCCTTAAGCCTGCACTCATTTTCCGTCCACCCCTTCCATCTTAAATCACGTGTGCATGTGTCTGTCTCATTTTTTTAATCTTCTCCATCTGTGACCGTCTCCTCCCATCCCCACCCCTTCCTGTCATCCTCTGTGTCCCACTGTCTCTCTCCTTCTCTCCAGTTTTGGTTTTGTCTTCCTGCTACCCTTGGCCTTCCCTGCAGCCCCTTTCCCCTGCCTTGCTCCTGCTGCATTCTGCGCCAGGGCCTGGCACGGCCCCATTCCCCCTTCCCTTGCAGCTCAGGTTTCCTGGCTTCTCCATGTACCGTCCCTGCCCATGTTCTCCCCAAGCACCCAGGTTTCATCCCCGGTGCCCATCATACCGCTGGCATGAGCTAATTGCTGACGTCAAAGGCCAGGCACTTGCAAGTCTCATCTTCCCAACAAATTTAGGAGGTCTGCAGCCTCGTTATACCCACATTACAGTGGAGAAGACTGAGGTCCATGCAGGAAGAAGTCTCCATGAGGTCAGAGACCTTGTTTGTCTTAAATATCACTACATCCCTGGTGTGTGGTTTGGCAAACATTAGATGCCGAGCACATATTGCTGAATGAGTTACTAATGTAAGTTACTAATTAGGGCATTACTTTCTATATGTGAGTGATTTTGCCTCCAGGAACACTTGGCAATGTCTGGAGACATTTTTGGTGGTCACAAGTAGGGGAGATGGGTGCCACCCATATCCAGCAGGTGTGGCCAGGGCTGCTGCTCAACATCCTATAATGCGGTGAGGCGTGGAACAGCACCCACAACACAAAATGATCCAGCCCAAAATGTGACTTGTGCCATGGCAGAGAAATCCTGACTTGGAAGAAGAAAGCCAACTACTTCAAGGTCTCAGCTGAACCTGTAGTACAGAGCATGCAGGTGCTCACCCTGCCCCTCAGGGAGCAAGAAGAAAACCTACACATGTACGTTACCATAAAGCTTCCAAAGAACCTACAAGGCAGAAGTGATCCCTATTTTATATAAGAGAAATCCAAAATTCAGAGAGGTTAAGCAACTGCCCAACATCACACAGCCACCAAGGGTTACGTCAGGTTGAAAGCCCATGTCTACCCATGTCCATCTGACTCCTAAGACTGTGCTTTTCCCACATTCCCACTGTGTAGTCCCTGGACCAGGAGCAGCATCTGTGGCAGCACCTGCATGCTGGTTAGAAATGCAACGTGAGACTGGGCGTGTTGGCTCACTCCTGCAATCCTAATACTTTGGGAGGCCAAGGCAGGGGATCAATTGAGGCTAGGAGTTCAACCCACCTGGACAACACAGCAAGACCCCATCTCTACCAAAAATTAGCCAATTAGCCTTGCGTGGTGGTGTGTGTCTGTAATCCACCTACTTGGGAGACTGAGGCAGGAGAAGCTGGGAGACGAACTTTGCAGTGAGCCAAGATCATGCCATTGCACTCTAGCCTGGGTGACAGCAAGACTCTTACCAAAAAAAAAAAAAGTTAAAAAGCCAGGTGAGGGTCCGGGCGTGGTAGCTGACGTCTGTAATCCCAGCACTTTAGGAGGCTGAGGCAGGTGGATCACCTGAAGTCAGGAGTTCAAGACCAGGCTGGCCAATATGGTGAAACCTTGCCTCTACTAAAAATGCAGTATCAGCTGGGTGTGGTGGTGCATGCCTATAATCCCATCTACTTGAGAGACTAAGGCAGGAGAATCACTTGAACCGGGAGGCAGAGGTTGCAGTGAGCCGAGATCATGCCATTGCACTCTAGCCTGGGCAACAAAAGCAAAACTCCGTCTCAAAAAAAAAAAAAGCCAGACATAGTGGCACACATCTATACTCCCAGCTGCTCAGGAGGCAAGATGAGAGGTTTGCTTGAGCCTAAGAATTTGAGGCTCCGTCTGCACCTTTGCACTCTGCCCTGAGCAGCAGAGAGAGAGAGATCCTATCTCCAAAAAAAGAAAAAAAGCATCAGGCCGCAGCTCAGGACCTACCTGATTCCAAATCTGCATCTTGACAAGACACCAGGCGATTTGTTTGAATAGTCGATTGGGAAGCTCTGGGGCCTACCGCATAACCCTATTGCCCCAACCTATTGCTGTTTTCTAAAATTCCCGCACAAACCCCCTTCCTGATAGACTTGCCATAATGGAGCAGCGTTGCAGATCACAACGGGGAATATTAACAATGAGTCTTCAAATCAGAACGCCACTAGACAGAGCCCCCAGCTGGCAATACGTCAGCACTAACGGTGACAATTTCCTAGCACTCCTGGGGACAAACCCATAAATGTAATTGGCACCAAGCAATAGAGTTGTCACAGCTTTCACCTGGCGCATTAGGGCAAACTACTTTTATGTCTAAGCCACTCGGCCTGGAAGCTTCCTCTAAGTAAAGCGGAATTAATCTTGATCCACTATAATTCAAAGTATCATCAGATTTTCATTTCTCAGAGTGGAAGCGTGCCCATATTGCCATGTTTTATGGCCTTGTTTGAGCCTCCATAAGTGCTGGTTTGCCAGCGATATTTCAGAATCACCACACCATGGCGTGTTCTGCTAGCTAATTAGCCCAGGCCACTGGACTCCTTTTTTTTTTTTTTTTTTTTTTGACACATTCTAATGTTTTCAGAAAAGTATATGGCCCAAGGAGGGGACTTGGCTGTTCAGCTGCAGCCCGCATGGGAAAGAATTGCTAAAACCAACAAGCCTGGGCATGGGATTACAAGGCTGTAATCCCAGCACTTTGGGAGGCCAAGGTGGGCAGATCACCTGAAGTCAGGAATTCAAGACCAGCCTGTCCAATATGGTGAAACCCCGTCTCTACTTAAAATACAAAAAAAAGAAAAAGAAAATGAGCTGGGCATGGTGGCAAGTGCCTGTAATCCCGAGGCTGAGGCAGGAGAATCACTTGAACCCGGGAGACGGAGGTTGCAGTGGGCCAAGACCATGCTGTTGCACTCCAGCACGGGCAACAAGAATGAAACTGTCAAAAAATATAAATTTTAAAAATTATATTTTAAATTTTTTTTTCTTTGAGACGGAGTTTCGCTCTTGTTACCCAGGCTGGAGTGCAATGGTGCGATCTTGGCTCACCGCAACCTCCGCCTCCTGGATTCAGGCAATTCTCCTGCCTCAGCCTCCCCAGTAGCTGGGATTACAGGCATGCGCCACGACGCCCAGCTAAGTTTTTGTATTTTTAGTAGAGACGGGGTTTCACCATGTTGACCAGGATGGTCTCGATCTCTTGACCTCGTGATCCACCCGCCTCAGCCTCCCAAAGTGCTGGGATTACAGGCGTGAGCCACCATGCCCAGCCTATTTTAAATTTATAATTTAAAATTGGCGTGGCCTGATGCTGCAGTTTGACACTGATGCTGGCCTGTGGGCCACACTGAGGAGTGAAGTCGCAACATGATATCCCTGGTTAAGAGCACAAACTCTTGACTGGGTGTGGTGGCTCATATCTGTGGTCCCAACACTTTGAGAGGCGAAGGCAGGAGGATTACTTGAGGCCAGGAATTTGAGATCAGCCTGGCCAACACACAGAGACCCTATCTCTAAAGAAAAAAAAAAAAATTAGCCAGGTGTGCCGGCATGCACCTGTACTCCCAGCTACTCAGGAGGCTGAGGTGGGAGGATCGCCTGAGCAAAGCAGTTCTAGGCTGCAATGAACTGTGATTGTGCCACTGTTTTGCAGCCTCACTGCCTCACAGAGTGAAATCCTATTTCTAAAGAAAAACGAAAAACGCCACTCTGGAGTTGAGCAAACCAGGGTTGAAATCCTGCCTCTGCTGTGTATCACCAGCAATGACCTTGGACACATGACCTGGCCTCTCCCAACCTGAGTTTCCTAAACTTCTTGACAGGTTGGTGAATGGGTACAAACTTAGAAGCAATACTTTCTAATGTTTGATAGCAGACTAGGGTGGCTACTGTTAAAACAATATATTGTGTATTTCAAAGTTGCTGGAAGAGAGAACTTGAAATGTTCCCAGCACATAGAAATGATAAATTATCAAGGTGATGGGTACCTCAAATACCCTGGCTTGAAAATTACACATTCTGTGCATATAAAACACATTCACAGGTACCCCATAATATGTAAAATTTTATTTATCAATAAATGGAAAAAGGCAGGACATGGTGGCTCACGCCTGTAATCCCATTACTTTGGGAGGCCGAGACGGATGGATCACCTGAGGTCAGGAGTTCAAGACCAGCCTGGCCAACATGACAAAACCCTGTCTCTACTAAAAATACAAAAAATTTGGCAGGCTCAGTGACTCACGCCTGTAATCCCAGCACTTTGGGAGACCAAGGTGGGCAGATCACCTGAGATCAAGAGTTCAAGACCCAGCCTGGCCAACATGGTGAAACCCCGTCTCTACCAAAACTAAAAAGTTAGCTGGGTGTGGTGGCAGGCACCTGTAATCCC